ACTCACCAGTAGCCCAACCACCAGTAGCTCAATCCCTCACCAGTAGCCCAAATGCCAGTACCCAACGACTCACCAGTAGCCCAACCACCAGTAGCCCAACTGGTCCCCAGAAGCCCAAGGGTTCACCAGTACCCAACCACTCACCAGTAGCCCAAGGACTCACCAGTAGCCCAACCACCAGTAGCTCAAGCCCTCACCAGTAGCCCAAATAAAAAAGACATTGAGGGGCTGGAGCGGGTTCAGAGAAGGGCAACGAAGAGGGAGAAGGGTCTGGAGAAGAAGGAGAAGGGTCTGGAGAAGAAGGAGAAGGGTCTGGAGAACTTCTGAGGAGCATCTGAGGGAGCTGGGGGTGTTCAGCCTGGAGAAAAGGAGGCTGAGGGGAGACCTTCTCGCTCTCTCCAACCCCCTCAAAGGAGGGTGTAGCAAGGGGGGGTCGGTCTCTTCTCCCAAGGAACAAGAGGAAACCACCTGGAGTTGCACCAGGGGAGGTTGAGGATGGAGATTGGGAACAACTTTTCCACGGAAAGGGTTGTGAAGCCTTGGAAGAGGCTGCCCAGGGAGGAGGTGGAGTCGCCATCCCTGGAGGTGTCCCAAAGCCAGGTTGACATGGTGCTGAGGGACATGGTTTCATGGTGGCTTGGTCGGTGTTGGGTTGATGGTTGGACTCCAGGATCTGGAAGGTCCCTCCCAACTGGGACGATTCCACGATTCTACGAGCAACTTGTCCACGCTCCTGGTCACGCTTGAAACCACCCCGACCCCTTGACTCCGCCCCGGTTTCTCTTTGTACTTTCGCTGGTGATAAAAAAAAAAGTGAATTACTGTTTATTTTGAATCCCCACGCACGGTCATAAAAAAGTCCACGTTCTGGTGTCGTGGCACGTGTCCTCCTGCGACCTCGGCATCTCCAGCGGCGACTGTTATCTTTACAGCCCTGGGACATGGCCTTCTCCCCACCCCCCCGACCTGCCAAAGTTCTTCTTCCCTCCAGCCCAGCTGGGGGTTGGGTGGGAACATGGTCGCCACCCAAAGCGACGTGTTCTTGGCCTCAAAACCACCAAGAACCCGGCCCCCAAAAAGTCCGATTTTTAGGGGATTGTGTCCCATTTTTAAATGCCGGGATGGTGGGGGTTGGGAGGGAGCTCTGGAGACCAAAGCGACGTGTTCTTGGCCTCAAAACCACCAAGAACCCGGCCCCCAAAAAGTCCGATTTTTAGGGGATTGTGTCCCATTTTTAAATGCCGGGATGGTGGGGGTTGGGAGGGAGCTCTGGAGACCACCCAGGCCCACCCTCACCCCCTCCAGAGGAGGTCCCACAGGGTCCCATCCAGGTGGAGGTTGAAGGTCTCCAGAGAAGGAGCCCCCACCCCCTCTGGGTGGCCTCTTCCAGGGCTCTGCCACCCTCGTGGTCAAGAGGTTCCTCCTCACGTTGAGGTGGAACCTCCCGTGTCCCAGTTTGTCCCCGTTGCCCCTTGTCCCATCACTGGGCACCGCTGGGAAGAGGCTGGTCCCATCCTCTTGACACCCCCACTTTGAGGTCCCCCCTCAGCCTTCTCTTCTCCCGCTGAACAGCCCCAGGTCCCTCAGCCCAGAGAAGCTTCAGCCCCTCATCATCCTCACGGCCTCCACCGGACCCTCTCCACCAGTTCCCTGTCCTTCTGGAACTGGGGAGCCCAGAACTGGTCCCAGTTTCCAGACGGGGCCTCCCCAGGGCAGAGCAGAGGGGGAGGATGAACCTCCCTCCACCCACTGGCCACCCCAGGAGACCATTGGCCTTCTTGGCCACAAGGACCCATTGGTGGCTCATGGACAACCTGTTGCCCCACAGGACTCCCAGTTCTCTCTCCCTCCTACTCTCCAGCAGGTCACCTTCAACCTGTCCCGGTCCATGGGGTGGTTCCTCCCCACATGCAGGGCCCTACACTTGCCCTTGGTGGAACTTCATGAGGTTCCTCTCCCCAAAACTCTCCAGCCTGACCAGGTCTCTCCGGATGGTGGCCCAGCCTCCTGGTGTGTCACACACCCCTCCCAGAAGGTGCTGAGGGTCCACCCCATCTCCTCATCCACCCAGCCCGTCAGGCCGTCGTAGAAGACTATCGGAGTGGTCAAGTGTGTTGTCCCCTTGGTGAAACCATGAGCTCCCCTTGATGACTCCATGATTTCTTGGTGAATCTGTGACTGTCCCTTGGTGAATCCACAATTTTGTGGTGAATCCGTGATTCCTCCTTGACCACGCCATGATTTTGTCGTGAATCCATGATGTCCCCTTGGCGAATCCATGATCTCCCCTTGGCGAATCCATGATTTCTTGTGGAATCCTTAATGTCCCCTTGGATAATCGATTATCTCCCCTTGATGACTTCGTGATTTCATGGTGAATCCATGATTTCTTGGAGAATCCATGATTTCTTGGAGAATCCATGATTTCTAGGAGAATCTATGATCTCCCCTTGATGACTCCATGATCTCTTGGTGAATCCATGATTTCTTGGTGAATCCATGATCTCTCCTTGGTGAATCCATTATTTCCTCTTGGAAAAATCCATAATTTCTTGGAGAATCCATTCTTTCCTCTTGGTGAATCCACGATTTCTTGGTGAACCCACGTTGACCCCTCTCTTCCCACCTCTGTCCAGGCACCCTCAGCCGGAGCCTCCAACAGCTTCGTTCTCCTGCGGCGACTTTGGGAATGAATTTTGAACAATTTTTGTTGCTTTTCCACAGGAATTCGATCATCCCGTTGCAATCATTTCCAGACTGACAAAATTCAACATTTTTTTAGCGTAAGAAGGAAAACTCCCAGGTTCCACCTCAAAACTCCTGATGGGACGGAGCCTTCTTCAGGCCCAACCCACTTGGTGGGGCTCCAATTCATCCACGCGGCAAAGAAATAAAAAACAAATAAAGTAAAAAAAAAAACCAAAACCAAAACCGAACCCCAAAGTTTTCCCCGCTGTCGGCACGAAACTTCCGTAATTCGTTAATTAAGCCGAAAATGTGCGGTAATTAAGCGGGTGAGAACCTGGTTGGGGGAGGAGCTTCTTTGCACGAGGAGGAGCCTCCGACTTCGCCGCTTTTAAGAGAAAAAAGGCAAAAAAGAAGAACCCCGAAAGTACCCGCCCCTCCCCTTTCCCCCCCCACCCAGG